TTTGCCAAATCCTACTCCGAACGCGCACTTAGATGCATTAAGGCGCAATTTGTGTTTCTTCAGGATCTGGAACATCTCACCTAGGTCCCTCAGATGGTCATTCTTGTCCTTGCCCTTGACCAACATGTCGTCGATGTAAGCTTCCATTGTTTTTCCTAACAATGGTTCAAACATCTTGGTGACCATCCGTTGGAATGTTGCCCCTGCATTCTTTAGGCTAAAGGGCATGATCTTGTAACAATACTGTCCTCTTGGAGTTGTAAAGGACGTGACCTCCTGGTCTGGTTCGTACATGACGATCTAATGGTAGCCTCTGTACGCATCCAGAAAGCTAAGCCGGTTGTGCCCCGCCGTTAGGTCTACCAATTGATCTATTCGTGGTAGGGGAAAGCTGTCTTTTGGGCATGCTTTGTTGATTGTCTTATAGTCGACGCAGACACACCATTTGCCATTCTTCTTTGGTACCACGACTGTGTTGGAAATCCATCTGGGGTAGTGCACCTCTCTAATAGCTCCTGCCTCTAGTAGATTTCCCACTTCTTCCGCCACTATCTCGGCGTGGTGGAGTGCCGATCTGCGAGTGCGCTGAATGATTAGTCTGGCAGATGGGTGGACATTGAGTTGGGGACAGATGAAGTTTAGATCAATGCCTGGCATGTCGTAGGGTGTCCAGGCGAACACTTCGATGTTAGAGGTCAAGAATTCCAAGACCTCTAATCTCTCAGTGCTGGACAATGACGAACCGAGCAAAAAGAACTTATCCGGGTTCTTTTCATCTATTCTTACCTCTACCAAGTCTTCTACCACTTTTTGATCAGTTGCTTTGCCGACATCTGCGAACAGTTCATTGCTCTCAGGTTCTTCCACCGAATGAACATATCCCTTGGCGGCGCGGCTGCCATTAACCGTGACGAAGCACTGCTTGGACATAATTTGGTCTCCAAAGACATCTTCAATTATCCCAGCTTCGTTGGGGAATCGCATTACTTGATGGTAGGATGAAGCTACTGCTCGCATGGCATGCAGCCATGTTCGTCCCAAGATTATGTTGTAAGTGGAAGGGACCTTCAATACCCAAAACTCCACTTGTTTTGTCACGCTTCATGCCCTGACTGGAAGGATGATCTTGCCGACTGGCCATTCTGGCATTAAGTTGAATCCAATCAGAGGGGATACAGCTGGCGCCAGGTCTTTGTCCTCCAATTTCAGTTGTTTGAAGGTGTCGTAGTACATTATCTCACATGAGCTACCTTGGTCTATCAGAATTCCCTTCACGTCGTAGTCCTTGATGCGGAGGGTGACGACCAGTGCATCGTTGTGAGGGTAATATATTCTTTCCAAGTCTTTGTCTGAAAAAGACATGACGTTTGTAGGGTCTGTTTTTCCCTTTTTGATGGTAGGTTGAGCGCTTAGTACTTCTCTTAAGTACTCAGCCTTCTTGATCGATCCTCTAAGCTCGCATACACGCTCAGGTTTGAATACTCCATGTATCACATTGATCACACCTTGAGGTGGGGCGTCAATTGGCATTCCATTGGGGTTATTGTGGTCTTGGGAGGCTGGTTGCGTCCCTCCTTCAATGTATTTGTCCAGGTGACCGGCTGCCACCAACTCCTCCAGATGCTGTCTCAATGGCATACAATTTTCAGTGCGGTGCCCCTTTTCTTTGTGGAAGGTGCATCGCGATCTTTCGTCGTAGTCTTTCTGAGCCTCTCCTAGCTTGGCAGGCCATCTGACGAAAGGTTCATCGCGTATCTCGCTTAGAATCCGGTAGATTGGCTTTTTGAATACCGTGGTAATGGCAGTGCGGACTCTTAACCATCTTTTATCCTGATCTTCTCCGTTGTCCCGCCTGCCTTGTCCGTTTTTGTTCGGACGTTCTACCGCGTTGACCTTTGTTGCGGTCTTTTTATCTGGTACTGCGGTCGTGCTAGACTTTGCCTTAGCACGGGCGCCATCTTCCTCAACCCGAATGTGCTGGTGCACTCTCTCCATTAAGGCCTTTATCGTGAGAGGCGGTGTCATAGTGATTGAGTCCCTTAGTTTGTTCTCGACTGGAAGGCCTCTTTTGTACTGTGCGATGGCGAGATTGGTGGGGCAGTCCCCAATCTGGTAGAAAGTCTCCCAGTAGCGGCTATTGTAGGATTTTAATGACTCTTTTTCGCCCATGTCGATGGAGAGCAGTTGATCAATTTCCACCGGGGTTTTGGTGTTCGTTCGGAACCTTGTTACGAACGCCTCCGCCAATTGCGCCTAGGAGGCTATGTTACCTTCTGGAAGTTTTTCGAACCAAGTCAAGCCTAGGTCACCAAGGCTTGATGGGAAGAGGATGCACATCAAAGCCTCGTTTCGTCGATATACCGCCATAACCTGGCGGAAGTGGCTTAGGTGCATGTAAGGGTCTGTCTTCCCTTCGTACGTGGTAAATTTTGACTGGATGAAGCCTGTGGGTAATGATGCGTTCTCAATCGCAGGAACGAACGGCGAGCTATGTAGTCTTGCCAATGCTTTATCTGTTGGTTCGTAGGCAAGGTGTGGTACTGGCATTCCAACCTCGACGCTTCCGTGCGTCCGAGGAGCCAACCGCCGAAGGGCTGAAACTCTGTGCGGGTCGCGTGCCCTAGCATCCTCCTTCTGTCGCGTCCTTTCTTCAAGCATAGTCCGTAAGTCGGACGATCTAGGTAACTCCGTTTGCCTGGATGATGTATGGTGCGTGCGTGAGGGCCAATAGGTACTTCCTTCTGTGTAAGACCTTAATGATCTCGTTCTCTCAGACCTGGAGTAACGAGTTCTACAAGTCTTTGATTGAGTGTCACTCGTCCTGAGGCTTCTACTCTCTGCTTGCGATGTCGTGGTATGCCTATTACGATCTTCTGAGTGGCGATGAGGCGTATTGCCTTTGCGCCCCTCTCCTGTTGCCACCCCCTTTCCCCTGATCTGGCGCTTCATGGCCTCTATGTCCGCCGCCATCTTCCTTATTAATTCATGTTGCTCCTTCACACGGTCCTCCAGAACTTGAGGATCAATCATCCGCCTTTGTCTGTCAGGACTTCGTGAACGAGAGTGATGGGGGCTGTTAGTCCGTCTCCTTCCCCTTGCATCCCTCCTGGGATTTTGCCGCTGTGGCTCCAAATCCGCCATGGGAGGGATAGAAGGTAGGCCTTCACGCCTTGCACCCCCTTCTGGTGTTTGTCCGTCGATGGCGGACCGCTGCAAATCTTCATTGTGGGCCATTACTTCTAAAGAGGAAAAGCTTGATCAAGAGGTTTTGTTCTAGTCTGATTTTCTCACAGACGACGCCAATTGTACGGGCACGAAATATTCTTCCCGTGTAATCCTGTTGATCAAGTTTGCGCTCCTCCGAACGTCGTCGCTTTACTCCCTGAAAACACAAACGTGAGCTAGCCGGCGGGTGTGTGCCGAAAACCTCTCCGATGCCTAAGTCAGCAAAATAGACAAGCGCTGGACCTCTACGAGAGTACTCTTGATCATTGCCTTTATTCTATTGTCTTTATGGACATTTGAAGAAAAATAAAAGTGCAATTAACCTTCCTTTTTTTTTATTCTTAAATAAATAAGTTCAAAAATAAAAATAAATAAATAAATACTACTCCCAATGGGCTTTGGCATCATGTCTGCTTGGATTATAAAATGAAGGGCAAAATTCATTCTAACCTCCTGTGATATGAGCTTAAAGCACTTTATCCTCTCATATTTAAAAATAGTCAAAAACCTTATATTTTTGGACTAAACTGCATAATTAACTCTGTTAAGAGAAAATGTAAATTGTCTTTTATACCCTCCTCACTGCATTAGTGACTTCTTCCACCTCAATTAACAGAAAATACAACTACCACCACTCCAAATATTCAATTCAACAACCAAACCACTATTTGATGAATTAAAATGTTTGGAGAACTTATTCCACTTAAAAATAAAGTGCGATTAGGGGTAAAGTGCAATTTGGGGGAAAATCAACCAAACCACATGGAGCGTCATTGGCTATTTTTAAACGTAAAAGAAGTAAAATGTTCTACAATCATACCACATGGGGGTAAATAAATTTTACCTTGAAACAAAGCAAGTTATTGAATCTTCATTCATTTTTGACTCGATAAAACTTATTTGAAATCTATCCGTTATATAAACAAATCAAATAGAGAACACATTTTAGAACTAATTAAATCTTCAAATCAAATTTAAACAATGTACTATTTAACTCAGTAAGCATGCACATTATAAAAAAATCAAGATACTTCAACTTGTTATCAGCTCCTTTAAATCTCATTGAAATAGGCTCAAAAAAATGAATAAACCACCTTTAAACACATTTTGAAACACGTCATACTCTGAGCTTGTTTACATATCTACTTAGGTCACACTGTCTTTTAGATATGCCCTTATTGTCAGATTACATAATGATGAAACTGGGAGAGAGTAGGAGAGGACATCATAATATTCATCACACTAGTTTCAAATTTGCTTAAGAGTGCAGTAGGCAAATGATACCCTCCTAATGAGGAAAATAAATAAATAAATTGCTCTCACAGAAATTTCACAGCACCGAAAAGACAATCAGTGACTCATCCAGCAACAAAACTACCACAACCACCACCACGAGCCACCAGATATGGCCCCGGTAACACCTTGAGCTGAAACCAGACGGGCAAACCTGATTAATTTTACCTATTGCCAAGGACAATTTTAACACCTTGTCTGAAATTGGATTAATTTGATTCAAATTGAAAATTTTAAAAACTAAATTAACACAATTGAATTTGGAGGGTGGAAAAAGTCATAAAACGCATTGCTTTAAAAGCCAGAGATGTATTTTACATTTTTAGAAGCATTAGGCCCCACATTGCCTAGTAATATCATATGCTAGCCGGAGGCTCCAATGACTCACAGAAGGCGAGATAGAGCTCACCTTAAGATTAAAGCGAATGCAAAATGCGATCATGCCCCGCATAGTACAGGAACACTTGGAACATGTAGCAATCTTTAGAAGTTAAATGCCCACAAGCAGCTATTCATTTACTTCAAATATCTGCCTGCAGCTCATCTGCACAGCCTGAAGTTATAAAGCACATCTACAACATGAAAGAACATTTTAACATGCCCGACCCCAATACCCATAAAAGGGAGAGGGGGGAAATCACTTAAGAGAAAAGGGAGGGGAAAAAACCGTCCCTAAAAAGAATAAAAGAAAGAAACAAAAGTGATAAATGAAAAGCAATGAAAAACACAAACTATTAAATGAACATTTTAATAGTACAGTTCCAGGTAGTTCTGGAGCAGAAGGCAAAATGAATTAAACATCTGGAAGAACAATCATAGAATCTGAAAGGGCACGAGGGAAGATACAACCTTCAGTTAGACCACACGTGGACCAGGCCATGCCTATTACCAGTATAGATCTCATTACGTTCTTCATCATAGAAGAGAGCAGTGATGTCTTCGAGGGCTTCTGCAACTGTGCTTCTAATCCTAGAAGCTCGGATCCGCTTCTTGGAGTTGCAATTCCTTCCGGTACAACATCCACTACAACTACATTCATCCATGGGAAAACTGTTGCTTGCTTGTATTTTAGCAAGGCATTTCCCAGTCAAGATATTGCTGATATTGATAGACCCTGCAGCATGATCAATGGATACACTGTTTAAAAATAAAAAAGAACAAGAAAAAAACCCAAACAAAAAAACAAACAAACAAAACGAAAGAACCAAAAGCAACAAAAAGACTGGTCTGAGCTTTAAATTTAGATGCAATCACACTTGGAAAATGCCAGATCAATGGTACAATCTATCATGCAATAACATTAACTGAAAAAACAAACAATCTATATTCTAGGCAATAGTGACACCTTTAACCATATCCACACTTCTAATCAGAAAATGATTCAGATATGTTAATCATCAGACAGTCAAAAATCATAGGAGCACGTGAGAGCTTTATATATATATATTGTGTTCAGCCCATTCCTATACGGCTTAAAATTTTAAAACAATTAGTGGGGTTGTTTTGGAAAGTGCTAAATAAGTTGGTTTTTTTTGGCTTATTACGAAAAGACGTGCAAAAAGTAGAGAGCTAATGTGACCCAAATAAGCCAAAAAGCTGATAAACTAGCTTATAAGCCACTTCCCAAAAGAGGCAATATAGCATCAAAGCTTTGGTTCATGTGATTGCAGGTTCAAGTCTCATCATATGTGTTTGTTCTCCCATTATGTTAGTTGCATCATTTTTTGTGTCGTCTCTCCAAGTGCAAAAGAGAATTGAACATGAGAAAGGGTATGAGCTTGATCTAGCCATTGTTTAACAGCTTAAACCTTTGGGACAACTAGCGATCTTAAGGTGCATGAAAAATGCAAAGAAGCAAATCTTCTCTTACACCCAACCCACTGACAAGCAAATGATGCCATTGAACTTCACAAGGCAATAATATCCAAGTTCAACAAAACATCAGATTCCGATAGAATTTGATGCATGTTTTTTTCCCTCTTAAGTCTCTAATCAATTTGGCATTGTAGGTTAACCCATATAACCCTCAAAGGTGGGGGGGTTCAAAATAAATTACTTAGTAGTATATAGTAATAATAACCAATTTTTTCAGGTGATTTACCGTTTCCTTCTGATAATGGATCATCAGAATCAGCTTTGCAATAAGAAATTATAAGATCCTGATCACTTGTGATATATATGTTGTTTGTGTTGCAGTCAGGATGCCACAAAAGGTGATCATCAAATGAAGTTACAAGCTCCCCACGGAAGTTCCAAACAGCCACTGTCCTGTTTCTAAATGTCAGGAACAACTGGTTCTCATACAGAAATATAAATGCTGATGGAGTCATAAATTCAGTTCTGCTAACTTCTGTTAGCTCAGAATTGCGGACCTGTGACAACAAATATCAGATATTAGATATAGATTAACATGAATATATTTCGAGACAATAAGATAAGAAAGACGCTTACATCAAGTATTTGGAGATTCTCATTTTCTTGCTTGACAAGAAGTTTCTCATTGAACTGTTCAATAAAATCCACCTTCCTATTCCGATGAAGGAGATGGTGGAATGTTTTGAGAACAGTGCCATCCTCTATTGAAAGAATCTTAAGAGGAACATGGCCACTAGTTTTGGAAAAAATCAACAACATGATGCCTGGACTGTTTTTAAGAAACCCCAAGAAAAAAAAAAGAATTAAGATCATACATATGAAGCAATACCACCCACCAACACATACTACCTATAAATATTCATAAATCTAAGCACAATCTAACAGACTGAACATTCAAATTTATAAAAGCCTTGTTTGGAAAGTTGGCTATTTTAGTTGGCTATTTGGCTTTTTAGCTACTTTAGTTGTGTTTGGGAAGTTGTTGGTTGACTCTTTTTTTTTTGTAGTTGATTTGATGGTTATGGGAGAAAAGCAAACAAATTTCACATGATACGTATTTCATCTATGAAGAACGTACACGAACACAAGACACGATGATTTCAAAAAAATGGAGACACAAATGCGACAGGGGAAACGGCAAATTATTATTATTTTTATTATATATATTTGCTATGTAAATTAATATTATGTTACCAAAAAATCAAAATTAATAAAAACTAATATTAATTCAATATATATAAACCACAACATTTAAACAAATTGATAGATTATCCATATTTGAACACGTGTGTCCCCACCGTGTCCCTTACAAAAAATAAATCAATACAAATTTAAAGGGACACGCCCCGAAGTGTCCCCGGCATGTCTCCATCAAAAAAAATAATAAAATTAAGGGGACACGCAATTTGGCGTGTCCCGAACGTGTCCCCAGCGTGTCCCTATGTCTGACACCACTACGGCACCTATTTTGAAATGCCTGTGCTTCATAGTACTTCATAATTTACTTATCAACAATCATTAGCAACTCTATGCCAGAGCCGAAAACTAAAAAAAAATGGGGCAAAATTTAGAAGACCAAAAATAATTTCAAACGTGGGGGGTGCAACTTTTTATGTGCAAAGAAACCACAGCAAAAGTTGCACCCCCCACCTTTTGGTCTTCCCAATGTCTTGCAATTTCCCCTAAAAAATACATAAGGTACCTGATCTTAATCTCTTGAACATTTTTATCTGATATGGAGTACAACAACGTATAATTTTTCAAGTCGAACACCTTGTATATGCTGAAAAAAGAATGGAAGGATATGCGTCAGAATCAAGAAGCAAATTGTGCACAACAGTCACATGTTAGCATGTAAAATACCAAAATAATTGAATATTTACCTATCTTGTGCAGAATAAGTGAGTACCTTCCCATTTACATCATCAAACTCCACAAAACCAGGCCATTTCAGAGACTCAGACTCAAAAAGAGCAAAGCCTGCATCTGGCTTACCCCTCCTTATGTACCTGGAACCATTTCACAGTGTGAACTTTTAGTGAGAGAAACACATGAAAATAATAAATATTAGAATATATATATATATATAAATAGGGCAACTCAAATGGTATGGTTCACATACTCAATCCTTGTGGTTCTGCATTTCAAAGAACTAAAATGGTCTGAAGCATAAACTGAGACAGTGATGAGCGAATCATTGTTTTTATTGTAAAACAAGCTTCGTATAACTTCATCAGGACTGACATTCAAAAAGCATATCCTCCGGTTAGTCTCTGCATCCAACAACGAACACAGTATAAGTCCATGTTTCTTAAAGTTGGGAAACATAAACTGAATAAAACCACATATTCTTCACATAAACAGAAAGATGGTTAGTTATTAGGGCTCTACCTCGGCTAAATGCAGCACAAACACCAGACTGTGCAAGCGCAAAGACAATGTCATGGGCAGCTACTATTTCGATAATTTTTGACCTCTTTTTTAGAAAGGATAGCACCATGCCATAATGTCCTTTTGGATCATGAGTATCGTATTCCTCCTGACAAAATATTTGTACAAATAGAATATCACAGGAAGAGAATTAAATATGTAGAAACAATAGACCTAGACAGGTTATAAAAATTACAGGGGACATGACTAGACCAATAATAAAGTACGAACATTCTCTCAGCTGAGAAATATTTCAGGCAATATGTACATAATGCATAGGAATTTCTGAACTTTATACAAATTCAAATCATATAATTTGACTGTGGCCTGAGTTTCGGTAAATGCCAGATCAGATGCAATGCATCGCAACATCTTCCTTAGGTATCCTCCAATCAACAATTGTATCATCCCAATTTTTTATCAGCAAATGTAAACACAAACAAAACTTCCCTCCCAAAGCATTCCCAAATTCATCCAATCCCAATGCCAGTGGCTTCATCCTTTTGTTCTATGCACTTAATCAGCTTCAAAACAAAAGCAAAATGAAAAATAGATACAATTTCTACCTTCCTAAAAAGAAGCAACTTCAACCAATCTAGAATACCAAAAACAAACAAAAACATGAACCATAAAAAACAAACCCATCTCTTGGACCACTTAGAGCTATTGAGTTTGGACACCACCACATAAAAAAAACACAGTTTCTTTTTAAAGATGCCGAAAGACGTAAAAAGGACAAAATCAAAGATTCCTTCCAATCCTTCAATATTCACTAATATAAAAAGCACACAACTTTTTTAAAATTACATTCTGCTGTGTGCCTCCTTAAAAAATGTAAAGATAACATAATGAATAAAACAAATAGAGGAAGAGCCTACTCCAAGGGCCAAAGGACCTCCTACAAGCAGCACCCTAAAAACTTTTTCTTCGTCATCTACAACCAGTGTTTTAAAAGGCGCGCACACGAGGCGCAATGAGGCGCAACCTTGTGCTTCAAACAGGTCGAGGCAAGGCGCAGCTTAGGCGTTGAGGCGAGGGATTTTTTTCCGAGGCACGAGGCGTGGGCTTCATGGGCTTTACCTATTTTTCTACTCCAACTGTTGATTAAGTGCTTTTTTTGTAAGCATACCATAGGGAATCAAAATTCTTCAATATAAACTGACCAAACGAGGTCAAAAGAGAGCAGAAGTGATAAAAGATTAAATGTTACGTTTAAATCTTTTGTTGGATATTCCATTTCTAGTTTTTAGGAGATTGAGTATCATGTTTAAAGATTATCAGAAATAATTATGATTTTTGAAATTCTATATATATTTGTTATGTTGAAAAGTTTGCCTATTCTATAATTTTGTTTTTCTTCTATTACTTGCACTTTGCTTTGGTGAGGCGCGCACCTCGCCTTGCGCCTCGCGCTTAGACTATAGGAAACCTTATCGCCTCGGTGCGCCTAGAGCTTTTTAAAACACTTTCTACAACACATTTGTAATCTAAAGTTATAAACATGGATTAACTGCTAAGAAAATAAATAACCACTACTAACAACCTGATCTCATATTTAGATAACACAAATCCAAGTACTGATAATAAAAAAACAAAATCCAAATATAGTTTAATACAGATAATTTTTTTCCCCATAACTACTTTATAGCAGGAACCTGTCTAAGGCACCCAGTGATTTTGGAGGGCTTGTAGAGAGATTTTAAAGCTGAAATTTGTAAGGTTTTGTTGCAGTTTAAAGCTAATATCCAGTGGGAAATTTAGGATTTTGTATAGCATATGAAAGAAGGAACGATTAGGGCTTAATTAAATAGCAAGATGGAACAAGTTTTGGGACTTCTCTTCTTGGTACCATGAACAGTAACCGTAACCATAACCTTGCAGGTTTTGTATTTTTTTTTTTTTTGCAAGCTAGGGTGCTAGGGTAGAGGAGCTATTATGATTAAGGGTTGAATTAGGGACTAATGCAGATCTGGTTCTAGAGTCTAAAGGCTTCCAAATGCTAAAAATTAAGAAGAAAAATATATGCATTACACCGAGCTTTCATAGGTACACATCCCAAAGAAGCTTCAAAGTCGCTGACAATCCTCCTAATAGAAATTTGACTTCCTATTTGGAAACTAACATATTAAAACAAAACAAAACCCATAAATAAAAAAACAATTACATATGACAACCCATAGGACCTAAAGTCCATGTTCAAAAACCGCATGTTCCAGTGTTGTTAAAAGCGCGCCTAGGCGCAAGGCTCATCGAGGCGCAGCCTGTGCGACTGAACTGGTCCCAGGCGAGGCGTGTTGAAGAAGTCGCGCGCCTTAGTCGCAACTGGAAGCAGGCGAGAGAAGCGCAAGGCTCGCGCCTAGGCGCGACTGATGTTTACACCCTAATCTGCCTTCTTCTTCGACTTCGATCGACTCTCTCTCTCTCCCCTTCAGCCTTCTTCGACTGGCTTCTTCGACTTCGATCGTCTCTCTCCCTCCCTCCTTCGACTTCGATCGTCTGATCTGATGGTCATTTTATTTTATTTTTTCTTCTTCTTCTTCTTCTCTCCTTCTTCTTCTCTCTTCTTCGCTGATCAGTCTGCTCTGCTCTGTTTTTTTTTTAATTATTTATGGTCTCTGTTACAAAATAAACTGCAAAATAAATTGTTTTTTTTTCAATTACAAAATAAATTGGTCTCTGTTAAAGAAATACAAAATAATTTTTTTTTTACAAATAATTAATTAACACACTGCTATTGGTCTTTGTTTTTTTTACATTACATTATTTTCTAAATTGACACATTACATTACATCAATTATTTTTTAAATTGACACATTACATTACATTATTTTCCATTACATTGTATTAATTAATTTTCCATTAATTAATACACTATGCTAATGTGTAATTTTCCACAGTTTGCTTTGTTTTTTTTTTTTTTTTTTTTTAATTATTTATGGTCTCTGTTACAAAATAAATTGTTTTTTTTTCAATTACAAAATAAATTAGTCTTTGTTAAAGAAATACAAAATAATTTTTTTTTTTACAAATAATTAACACATTGCTATTGGTCTTTGTTTTTTTTACATTACATTATTTTCTAAATTGACACATTACATTACATTAATTATTTTTTAAAGTGACACATTACATTACATTATTTTCCATTACATTGTATTAATTAATTTTTCATTAATTAATACACTATGCTAATGTGTAATTTTCCATTACACATTATTTTCCATTACATTACACAATTAATCACACTTACATTACACAAAAATTATTTTCCATTCATTAAATTGTTGTGTAGAAAATGACATCGGAAAGTAATAGAAAAGATACGGCATGGCTTATCTTTGAATGTGGATTATTTTATCTTTGAAAATTGAAATGTTATGTAATATGCACTTTCATGGCTTTGAGAATTATTCTATATTTTGTCTTGAATCTTGATTACTTTTTGTTTTTAAAAAAAATTGTCTTAGTACTATTAATGATTAGTCTATGTTAATTTTTCTATTTTTTACTAAAACTGTGCGCCTTACTTCAATAAAGCCCGCGCCTCGCCTTGCGCTTTACGCCTAGGCCCCGAGAAACCTTCAGCGTCTTAGTGCGGCTTGAGCCTTTAAAAACACTGGTCATAACTTTATTGATCCATCTACACCAGAGAGAACAAGATGGGAAATCATTCTGCGCCAAGTACTATGAGGAAATCTCGTCTACCTTGTACTTTTTATCCTTTTTTTTTTTTTTTTTTTTTTTTTTTTTTTTTTAGG